GGGAGAAGGCTGCAGAGTCCTGCATCACCAGTCCCAAGTCCAGTTCACATTACAGAGGTGCCTGCTGAAATCCCCAGGGAAGGGCAGGAGGAAAGCAGCTCTGAGCAGACTGAAGGCAGTAGAGCACAGAGTTTGAGAGGGAACCATGAATGGTCTTTTGCCTTTGAACAGATTCTGGCATCCTTATTAAATGAGCCAGCCTTTGTGAGATTTTTTGAAAAACCTCATGCCATAAAAGTTAAAATAGAGAGTGCTAAAAATTTACAACTTAAAGCAAGAACCAGAGTGTAATTTTCTTTACCTTTGACTCTGAATTAACCACAAAGCGCTTACGAATGAAGGTTGCCACTAAGGGAATCAAGTCTGGTGTTTACATAGAGAAAGACATTTGCAGAGTTAGCTTTAAATATCAGATTACTGGTATGTAATGTAAATAAAAATAGTTTGAAGCACAATCACTTTCTTGCATTATTCATAAGTTTCACTCCAAAAAAAAAAGGACTGGATAATAAACTGTCTTTACCATGTTAGTAAAATATGCAATGTTGCTTGGAAATACTGGGTGTGACCTGTTGCAAACCTATCTGAATGACTGCTGTTACAGTGTGTTCATTTCTATTTCCAGGTTAATTTCTATTACTATGATAAGAGGAATGGCTTCCTGCTGTTTTCACTTAAAAGGAGTATCAACAGTTTAGAGGTTGTCATCCACATTAGTTTAATTAGTTATTTCCAAACTTGCAGGTGGACTGGGGTCAAAGCAGTGTGAAGGCTAAAAATAGAGGGTGTGGTAGGCACAAAAGCATGAGATTAGAGAAGGAAGTGCCCTGCTCTCAATTCCTCTGCTTTGATGATACCCATGGGCCTGGACTCTTGCAGATTCCAGCCCCTTGTCAGCAGTTTTCAGACTGCATTCTCCCAGCCCACATCTGTTTTTGCAACAAACAACTGGTTTCCTGGCTTTCTAGCTCAGCCTAGAGTTCTCTTTCCCATTTTCATTTCATTTCCTACAATGCAGGTAAAAAGGATGGAATCTTATTTGGTCGTCCAGACTGCACATGGATGCAAAAGCTGATATTGATTGTTGAAATCAAGGGAAAGCAGTGGCTAAATCAGTCTGACCATATGCCTTTATCTGGCAAGAGGAGCTTCTTAGGAGCATGTTGATGAAATATAGAGTTTTGCTGGTGTTTGCAAAGACCAAGCACAGACCATCTTAAGCTGAATGCTGAAGGGACAGATTGCAATTGCTCCTTTACCTACCCTGAGTCCATACCTCAACTTATAATTACTATTTCTTTTCTGTAGCACTCTGGATTATTGCTGCTGTAATATTTTCCATCAGCCAGGATTCAAGGCAGCAAAAAAATCCCCTTGAATCTGACTTGAAATTTTAATATATAAAAAATGATATAGTAGAAATCCTGTGGAGGCAAGCTCTGCCACCATTAATGGTGAGAAATTTGACCTTGAATCTTTGGTAGCTGGTGCTAGAAGGGGTTTAGAGAAAGAGGGAAAGAGCTTGTCTTTTAAAAACAACAGCAAAGTAAATTGAGATTCTGTGCTAAACTAGTTAAAAATGTCTATTTCTAAAGCCTGTATGACAATCTTCCTCTGCAGAGCAGCATTATTTTTATACTGTGCATGTTTTTTGTAAAGAAGCAGAATGGGGATGGTATCATTCACTGAGGCTTTTCTTGCAATACTAATATGAATGAAGAATAAAATGAAGTTCTGGCTTGTGTTACAGGCACTTTGTGAAATGCCATCATTACAATTGGTGTTAAATACAGTTTTCATCAGGAAAAATGAATTTATGAATTGTCCTATACTCTCTCCCATACTCTCAGGTATTAATGTAAAATAAAGTTTTATTGAATGAACAGTCAGTTCAGAAGTTATATCATATATGTGAGAAATGAGGAAGCTTTTTTCAAAAACCTTTACAAAGTAATTGCACTTGATAAAATATAGTGCTGATTTGTATTTTTATGCGTAAAATATAAGAACTAATTTATCCATTTATGTGGATATGGATAAGTAGGGCCACACTGTGTTACTAAATTTAAAATGCATTTACTCACTCTTTTCCCATAGTTGTTTAGAAAGGCAAAGCAGATGATACTGTAGTTCTAGTCCAAGATGTACTCAGATAAGTTTTGATCAGTGAGTAATTCTGCAAATAACGGGGACAAAATTAGTGGAACCCCATGAAAGCAGATGCAGCTGCCCATCCCAAAAGCTTTTGTAGGTTTATGACGGATATTGTTTATGCCAAGTAGTCAAAGCTGTGAACTATTTGCTAAGCAAAGTAACAGAGATATGGAAGTCTTAAAACTCAAGGACATTTTTTTAGTTTGAGAGCCAAGATGTTACGATCCAAGTACAGAAGACTGCGGTGAAGGAACTTGCAAAGTACAGCAGCCTTCTGTTGTTACCTGGTTATGCAAACTGAGCACCTTTTTACAATTCCCTTTTCTATTAGTGCCAATCCAAGAGACTGTGGAGCCATTGCCAGTTAGGCAGTAGCTCTTCTCAGCTATTATATCTATAAAGAGAGATTACCAGCATATATATATAAATAGATTTAAGGTAAGAAGTTAGGATATGTAGGGGAACACTAACTTTTATTAACTGCATGGATTTTCTGTTCAATTTGTTTTTATTTTTCCCCCAAAGGGCGATGTCTTTAAATTGTTTGTGTAATACAGGAGAACCTGTAGGCTGATCCAGGAAGACTAGTCACAGTGGCCAGTCTCAGCAGGATGGAGCATGTGGAGCAAGGTCACTTTCAGCAGGCTGACAACACTCAGGCAGCTGCCCCACTGGCAGGTTCTTCTTTTTGGAATCTCTGGAACATGGGCTGATCCTTTGGGGAGATCTAGATGTAGCAAGTGCCAGTTATTTCCAAGGATTGTGACCCAGAGGTGTGTTTGCTGGGCTGCTTCCACAGTGCACCATAATACTGAGGGACACTTGAGCTCTGCTTGTGACACTAATTCTGGAGTTAGTGTCTAGCTTATTTCCTTCCCTTTCCTGTTCTAGCTCCTTCCATCCCTATTCCAGATGGACTGGCTAACAAGTAAATGCAGGTTTAGTTGGGTTTGGTGGAGCTAGAGCAATAGCAGCTCTTTCCCTCTCCACTCCCAAAGGGTGATGCGTTGACTTCAGAGCCCTGCCCAGGCAGGGACAGAGATCCCTGTGCCATACAGCTTTTTGGTCACATGAAGCTGGTGATGCAAAGATGAACCCAGACTCACATGGGGACGCTGGGGTGTGCACATTGGTGTTGCAGGAGGGCAGCTGCCACATGTAGCTGGGAATTATGCAGGAGGAGTCTGGTGGTTGCAGAGCATCTGACACAGTATTACTCAGCTACTTCCCAAGGGGGGACTTTCCATTCAAATTGTAATTTGGAAATTTTCATGTGTGTGTTTGAACTTTGAACAGTTCATTCACGAACAGGAAGCAGCAAGGTTAAGTGAGTTCTGATGCGTCACTTCACTCATCTCTGTTCCTTTTTTTTTCTGTAAGTTTCTGTGAAGTTTTCTGTCTTTCTATTTTTCTGGTTCAGTCATAGGGAATAAATGAAGGTGCATCATTCAGTACAAAATAGACAGTTGTAGGTAGGGTATAGATTGCTAAAATTAGTGGTGCTGTTTGTGCAGTTTGAGATTTGCATCACCAGGGTGTGTGTCATGGTTACCCTGACACACTGGCAGTGGCTGTCAGTGGAGGCTGCGCGGTCCTTTCTGGTGGCTGGGCTGTTGCTGTTGTTGCTGTGCACGTAAGATGCCTTCTGTCAGATGTAGTTGTCAGCCCAGGGGGATGGCCAGCAGGCTGTGATGATCCCTCAGTCTTGCAATATGGAATGCGCTGCTCAGGAGCCTGGTGCTGTTCCCTGTGCCCCAGGTGACTGGTGGCAGCCCTGACTGTGCACTGAGCCCAGGGCTTGGGCACGTGACAGGAGGGATTGGCTCAAATAAAAATACCAGCTCTTTTCACCCTGGGGGAGAACTGATGGTAATTCAACTGGTAGCATTTCCCAGGACATGGAAATGGCCACTGCCATGTGATACAAAAAGCCTACTCAGTTTCCATCCATTCCTAAACTAAGCCACTTGTTCATCACTCTAATGGCTGGATAATAATGTAATTTTAGAAGAGTTTGCTACCATAGTGACTAAGAAATAGCTGTGTGTTGATTTTACTAGAAGTTTCTCATCCAGTTGTACCATACAAGGTTCTTGATTGCAATTTCAGTTGTTATCTGGACTAAAGCAGAAGGAAATATTCCAATTTGTTTCCAGAAAAATAGGCTATTTTTTTTGCTATAGCTTTGTCACTTTACCAAGAAGGCAACATGTTTGTGTTGACAGATTGGCTTTTATACAATGTATTGTATGAAGAAGTACTGTAAGACAAATGAGGTGTTAAATAAAGTATTGTTTCACTTTAAAAAGAAACAAATCTGTGTTTGAGGCAGTATTATGTCTAGTGATGGTCTGTTGCAGAAGTTCCTTCAAGAGGATCGGCCAGGTTAAAGCCACACTTAGTTCTTTCCAAAACAAGGACTAAGGCAAAACCCAAGCTGGGATGCCAGCCTCCCAGCAATGGAGGAAAAATGGAGACCCAGATTCTGAGGTCTGGGACTAGTTAAGCTTTGTTACAGCCTGAGCTGAGTTCAGTGCTGAGATGGTGAGTGAGTGAGACCAGTACTGTCACTCGCTTTTTGCATCCAGATGAAACATTTACAGTGTGCAGATGTGTCCACACTGACCCTGATGCCTTGTTCTTTCTAATTGATGCATTCTCCCTATTGCTTCTGGCACTGGTCATGGAAATCCCAGTCTCCCTCTTGAGCCCCATCCCTTCAGCAGTTCATGCACATGAATCCATGACGCTGCTGCTCTTGTTTTTCCTGGACAGCAGGGATCAGATTCTGATCCCCAATGAACCCACAGCACCCAGGGAATAACAACAACACATAGTGTGTAAGAGGCCTTACAAGTATTATTTTATTTCTTCTTATCTTTTTTTTTTTTAAATACTATGTACAATCTGTTTAAAGCTTGTCAAAATGCACAGGCTCCCATTCAATGGAGCTGTGCAGGGACATAGATTCAAAACAAGAATAAAATCTTTACTGTTCATCTTCATAAGACACTTTCTTTTTCCCATTACAAAATACTTTTAAGAATAGTAACATTTATAAATTTATTTATATTCAACATCATATAAAATAAACCAAGATTTATACTCAATTCTAGACTTTTTCTTATTTTCTTTTTTTTGTTTGTTTTTTTTTGCATGGAATATATACAATATGTACAGTAACTTCTCATTGTGTTTGTCAAACCAGCCTGATTATACCCACCAGGCTTTAGCTTATATGTACAAATACGCTAAAAGTGCAAGACTTTATTAATTAAAGCTGCCTGTGTTTTCAGAGGTCTGGAATTGTGTGGCCCATATATATTTATATATAGATATACGTGTGCATACATATATATGCATATTAAAAATACATATATCTATATATAGAGAGATATAGTATATAGGTACTTGTGTACTAGAAAACCTCAGAAGATTAATGACTGATAGGTTGACACCGACACTGGAGCCCGACCCCACTGCAGGTGCCGTCACTTTCCTGCCCTCTGCTTGTCACCAACAAGTCACACTTGTGCTTTCTCGTTGCAGCTGGGAGTGTGTGAACCAAACCCACCAGCAACCCTCAATTCCAAATGAGTCCTAAAAACACAGGTCATAGCTAATACCGAGGTAAACAAATACAAATCAACCTGAATAAAGAGATTTATTTATCCATATATTTTTTGAGAGTGAGTGACAATATAAGGCAAAAACCCCATGGCCCTGACTCAGCCTTCCCTCCCTCAGCTGGAGGCAGACTGAGCAGGGACTGAACAAGCCCCAGAAAGGGATGGTGGGATTTTGTCCTTTGGAGCATGTCTGGAAAACAAGGCCCTACCTGTGAGGCAGTGCCTGGGACTGTGCAGCCCCCCTGCCCACCAGCAGCGAGGCCAGTGGCTGGGGTGGGCACTGGGAAAAAGGGGGGGGGCACATGATAAAGTGCGTTTTTAGGTCTCTTGTTTCAGCAAGGCTGATCTAACATGTAAACATCCTCACAAAGCTCCTCTGCTCCTCGCTGAGAGGCTGCAAGCAGGGACACAGTGCCCCCCCAGCTCTCCCTGCCATCAGAAGGGCTGTGCCCATGGCATGGCCCCATCCGGCACACCCACCACCCCCACCTCCCCCAAACCCCTTCCCAACCCTCTTCTTTCACTCGCTGTCGAAGACACAGCAGTGCTGGAAAACTGCTCTGCCTCAGCTGCCTCCCTACCAAGCATTGTTAAAAAAATACACTCCCCAAGCCCTTGACCCCAGCCACCACCACCTCTGAGATACACTTGATTGGCACCTGCCATAGGTGGGCTCTTGTGTAGTGATGGGACACTGCACACCAGCCATGGTGGTGGACTGGGATGATGCAGGTTTAATGGGCAAGTCAGGAAGATGCTCAACCTTTCCCTCCTGCCAGCCACCCTGAGTCACAAACTGTACAGTGGTGGACCCCTAACACAAATGTATGTTTGCCTCCCCTCTGACATTATGTTCCAAGGCTATGGTGGGAAAAACCCCCAAACAACTCCCACAGCCTCATGAGCAATCCCACTGTCTTGGGGAGAGGGAGACCCTAAAAGTCATAGTGCTTTGAAAAAAAAAAAAAGTTATCTACCCCAAGGGTTCTGTGCTGGCCCTTGTTGCAGTACAAATGCCGGGGCAGGAAATCCCCCACGCTCTCTCCAGGGCTTGGGCTCTAAGAGCCAAGGGGTGACGTGTCATTATTTCAGCTCCAGGTTGCTCTGCAAAGGCAGGTGCTCCACATCCCATTACCAGCAGTGCCGTGGCTCTGGCCTGTAGCTCTGCTATAGCCAGAATTTCTTGTTGTGGTTTGAAATGAGGGGGCTGGTTCAGGCTGTGTCTGAGAGCAGCTGCTCTGCTGCCCAGTGTCCAGGGCTGCATGTTCTGGCTGGGCAGGGGCCCAGCCAGGGACTGAGCTGACAAGGCACAACCCTGGTTAGTGCCTTGCACCTGCCCCCTGAAAGCTCCTGGCTGGCCCCTGCTCCAGCAGCCTGTCCTCCCACCATCATCACCCCAGGCAATGTGGCACAGAAAAAACACATTCCCTTCCCAAGAAAAATTGCTGGGGAACAGCCTCTGGTGTACAGAGGCTGGGGGAGCCCTGCTGCACCCCACCAGGCAGCAGGGAGGCTGCAGACAAAATCCTGTCTGAGGCAGAGCTGTCACACTTCTGTTTCACTCCTGAGTTCTCCAGTAGACTCTGGCTGCCATAGCCTTGTTCACCCAGGCTGAAACAATCCTGTTCTGCCCCCCAAGCTCAGCCTGGGCCCAAAGTTAACGAAATCCTCCCAGTGCTGCAGCACAGAAAACGCTGGGAGCAAGTGAGCCAGCTAGAGATATACAGATACAGCTACAGATTTATAGATAGAGCTATAGACAGATCTGTGCTTATGGCATTGGAGAGCTCAAGGTACCATTAGCTGTAGCTACTGCTTTGACACGTTCCCACTTTCCCCTTGAAACACAGGGCTGCTTGTGCCAAAGGCTGCTCCACCAGTAACACCAGTAACACAGTATCCACCTGCTGCAGTGCTACAAAGAGCCAAGCAAGCAGCTTGCACAAGATAAAAAAGGAAACAAATGCCAAAAAAAAGGCAAAAAAAAAAAAAAAAAGCACGGTTTGCTTGATTTTGACATTACAAACTAACCCCTCCCTAAACTTTGCTCTGACTATCAGGTGGACCTTTACTGCTAGATGGACCTGGTCCTAACTAATCATTATTTTGCAAAGTAATGGCCAAACCCATCTCCTGCCTTTGGCCTCTACCAGCGCCCATAGGTAGTACTCAGCTACTAACGCCTCAAAAATGTACATTTTCATTTTTCCTTTGGAAAGACACAAACAGTAGGGACACTTAACTATACACCCACTGAGGAATAAACTTGTTTTTCAATTCATAAATATAAACTTATAGTTAAAAAGTGACAATTTACAAAAATACAATTTATTGCTGACCCCACGGGCTTGTAACATCGCTTGTGTCCTGATCATACATTTTGGGTGTGCCAAATTGAAACATGACCTAGCAAAACCAGAAAGTTTGCTGTCATATGCCAGTCTATGCATGTTTGTTTGTTTTTATGTATAGAAACACACACAACTACGTCACTCTAAATGAAACAAAAAAAACCAGAAAAAGAAGGAGTAAGGATTCTTTGTCTGTAACCTGAAAAATATTCGGCTACAGGGAGTAAAAACCCTATAAATTTCTATGCACTTGTTAACCAAAAATAAAACATGACAAATATTGTACTAGCTGCGATGTGAGCTGGTATAACAACAGTAAGAAATTCAGGCAAAAGTGGTGTTATGTAAATTAGCAGCATTATCCAATCTCCTGGAAAACAAAAAACTGTGGGACTGAGGTATAGAAAAAAGGGGACAAAAAATCCACAATCCACCTACTACAGCAAAACGAGTTATGTACATGGTAATCCAACAGCGTCCTGTGGACCGGTACAGTCTGTCTATGTGCTTCAAATGCTGGGCTTAAATTCACAGTGACTTTCAGCACTGAAGTCCTGAATGGAAAAGGGTCTTTTCCATTGCAAACCAAGCTTCATGGCGACCTGATAACTGACCTCCCTGCAGCCAGAAAGCCACTGCCTCCAGTTGCACTGTGGTGCTGGGCCAGGGCACAAACAGCTGCCAGAGCAGCATCACGGACTGGCTGCATGGAAATCCCAACAGATGGGGTGCTCCTGGAGCCATCCATCCCCATTGGGGACTGTTCCTCCAGCCACCACCTTCCCACGGAGCCCGACCTCACCCGTCCCGTGCTCTGACGGCACCGCGCTCTCCCCTGTGTGCACCCGGGGTGCTGAGCGGCTGCAGCCACGTGGTCCCTGCCTCTCAGAGCCAACATTCAGGGCAGCTGCATCTCAGGCAGGTCAGGCAGGTTGCAGGGCTGGCCCTGCGTGTGGTGGCTCTGCTGCTGTGGGTGGAGGAAGTAGCTCAGGGGGTTCTGCTGTGGAGCGTGGGGTGGCTGGAAGATGCGCTGCGTTGGACCCCCAGGCACCAGCTCAGGACCTTGCATCTGTTGGGAGACACAAATCTGAGAGATCAGACATGCCCCATCATCCAGCCACTCCCTCTCTTGCTGCAGGGCCAGTGCTGAGACTCACACACAGGAGTGTGAGTACCAAGTCCTAAAGGTAACCTCTACCCACTGAGGGTACGGGTTGTATCCCTTGGGATGCTGCTGCTGTCAGTACAACTAACAATGACAGAGAGTATGGAGGGGAAGCAGAACCCATCTGTCCTACCATCCCCATGGAGGGCCCAGCAGGAATGGAGACCTTCAAAAGCTACTTAAGATGCATGGTAAAATGTGCAGGATGTGCAACTTTCATATTCCATGGGAAGGACCTTCAGGCAAGCAATGAAGAGGTTGTAGAGTGACCTCAGCCATGTACCACCCTGTGGCTGGTATCCCAAAGATGGGGACTTACTGGTTAACCCCCTATGAAAGGCATTGTGATACCAAAGCCTGGTTTTCTGTTGCCCTGGAGCTACTTATCTGTCCCAGCATCATCATTCTGCCACCCCTATTGCTGATTCTCTGGACCTCAGTGCAGCCCATGAGGACACATACCCAAAGTGGGGATGGCTCATGCCCACATTTGATGACAACAACAATTCATTTCTTACTATAAATCCAGTCCTGCTGTGTGGCTGCTTTCAGCTCCTGCTGCTTTCTTTTCTACCATCTTTGCCTGGAGGACTGCAAGTTACCTCTGCCAACCAGGCAAGGCTGGGAGAGTGTGTTAATAATTAATGACTAGTTTCAACAACCCCTCTCCTTGGCAGCATCACTGGTTCAGCATGCACTGATGAAAACTGTGTTGAAAAACCAAAATCACCTTCTCCAGAGATTTGTGTTGTGAAATACCCATTTATTAAAACAAAAGCCATCACAGCAGCTGGTAAAAACCTTGCTCTGTTGAGACATAACAGTAGGAGGCATGTTTTAAAAAGAGCTTCTCTCTTATCATGTTTCATGTCTACAGTAAGCTTCCCACCAGAGCTCCTCTGGATGAAAAGTTGTGTTTTAAAAACTGAATATTTCTCCTGGACACTTAGGTGATAACTGAGTGTGTGGGAAAATAACAGCCTTGAGCAGGTGCAGTCAGCCTAGAAAGGCTGAGCACGTGGCTACATGCAGATACAACAGGAATGGAGGATGTGCAAGTGCACTGATCAAGTTTGATCAGGCAAGTAAGCCCCATTCCTTAAAAAAAAGCCCCAACCAACCCCAAAGCCATCCCTGTGCCTCCTCAGAAACCTGTGCTCCAATACCTGAAGGTAGAGACGGTGCTGCGGAACCTGCTGCTGTGGCCACTGGTGCAGATGAAGCGGTGTGTTGGCCTGGTGGGATGTGAAGCTGGTGTGTGGGATCATCAGAGATGGGGAGAAAATGGGCGATGGGGCTGGAGGTCGGCTGGTGCTACAGGTGACTGGCTGTACCTGTACTGGGGGAGGCAGGGTCTGCTGCTCCGCAACGAATCTGCCACGAGGAGGGAAATCAGGTGTAAGAACCCAAACCCAGACCCACCACTAGAATAGGCACTGAGGAGTCCAGGTGGTGCAGGAACCAGACTGGAGCAGGGATTGTCAAACCACACAGACCCTGGCAACAACAGGCCCCAGATTTCCCCCTTCCTACCAAACATGGACTGGAAATGCAGAAAATTAAGGTTTTTAAGGCTGTACATCTCCATGTCTTGATAAGGCATTTTATGATTTGCAAAAGCCAGAGAACGGTTGATTCTTTTTTTCCAAAGCACTTTATTTATCATAAAGTTCTTTGTAGTTAAAAAATATTCTCATTACTTTTTGTCCTAACCAGTTGAACTTTTGCTTCATTTCAGACTGAGACTGCTCATGTTTGCATGATCAGGTACAAGTTTTGCCAAGTTATTTTCAGTGCCATAAAGTGCCCTGCTAAAACACTGCAGGAAAACAAGGGCCAGCAAAGACTCACTTTCCTTGCTGCCTGCTGGCACTGCTCTGCACAGCCTGGCCACTGGTGTTGGCTGCAGGCATCATGGCTTGGATGGATTGATCCAACAGCATCCTGCAGTGGAATAAAACAGAGGATGGTCAGGGAAGGGAGAGGTTCAAGCTCCTGTCAGTCTCTAGAAACAAATCTCTGAAAATTCTCCATGAAAGCAGGCAAACCACCACCTTGAAAACTAGCTAATGGAACAGGATCCTTCTTATCACATCACATCTCTCCTATGGAGACAGGCTGAGAGAGTTGGGGTTGTTCAGCCTGGAGAAGAGAAGGTTCCAGGGAGACTTCTGAGCCCTTTCCAGTGCCTGAAGGGGCTTTCTACAAAGGCATATAGTGACAGGACAAGGGGAGAATGGCTTTAAATTGACAAAGGGCAAGGTTAGATTAGATCTTAGGAAGAAATTCTTCCCTGTGAGAGTGGTGGAGCCCTGCAAAACTGTGGCTGCCCCACCCCTGGAAGTGTTCAAGGCCAGACTGGACAGGGCTCTGAGCCACCTGGTCTAGTGGAAGGTGTCCCTGCCATGGCATAAGGGTCCCTACATGCTCTTTAAGATCCCTCCCAACCCAAACCTTTCTGTGATTATATGATTCTAATGGACTTGCAGAGGTGAGCTGAAATTTGCTACATTTGTCATGTGAGAAATACATTTTATAGATGATGAGACCTCTATGATTTATCCTGTTTCCTTAAACAATATTTTGGAACAGCTGGATCTTGCAAGCACTGTCTCTCTGAAAGGCAGTTGAATAGTTTGGGACAGTTGTATATGTTTTATATGACGTTTCCAGCAGCGTATAAAAAAAAGGCTTTGCCATAGCACTTGTCCTGCCTGGAGAAAAGACACTCTAGAGTTTCAGAACAGGCAAGACACAGGTTTGGGAAAGACTAGTTTTTCCTGTTTACTCCTCTAACAGCAGCAGATGTCCAAAGCTTACTGAGCTACTTGGAAGGCAGGGCTGTGGGTACCTGAGGGTCCTGTCCTGGCTGTACTCAGACTGTGGTTGCCTCTCGCTGCTGTCAGGCGGCATCTGTGCAGCCACTGCAATGGGGTGTGTTTGTGAGAACACCATGGGGTTGTTGTAGAGGGGCACTGAAATGCTTGCCTGCCCTGGCAGACACGTTTGCTGGCCTTGGCTTCCTCTCATTAGGTGCTGCTGCTGCTGCTGTACCTGAAACAGAGATACCCATGTAAGTTTTAAAGCTCCCTAACAGAAGGCTAAAATAAGTGCTTACAGTGTGCAGGTGGAAAAAGGAGAAGGAACAATAGGACATTGTTCCTGAACACAGCAGTAGAAACAGTGTATCTTTTCAGGACAGCCAAACCATTGGCATTTATTGTCCCTGCAGGGCAGGTGCTGGCATTGCCAGCAGCAGAGACAGACAGTCCCTTGAGAAATCAGAGTACAAAAGGATTGAGGGGGAGGAGAACAGCTTAAGAGGGGAAGTGTAAATCCAAAGTCCCCAAGGAAAGCTTCTCATCTGTCCTTTAGACCAGCAAAAAGAGCTCAAAAAGCCTTTTTTGCTTTTGGAGAACTCAAATCTTTCCCAAGGAGAAGTGACCATCTTAATAGTGGATTTAGGTCTAGTGATGACAAAACTGTTTTTCAAACCTGCTTTCCAAGACTCTTTGGGCAGAGGAAAACTAATCTTTCCAAATGATGCCTACGTTCCTTTGTTATGAAACCACAACTCTCAGTGACTACAAAGGAGCATTGTGTTGCAATCATGAACACAAGTGACTGAGAGCCCAGACTTCCCACTCACTTCCTCCCCAGGGTCACGAGGAGGGTCCCAGTCCCTGGGTTCAAATGCTTTTCGGCTACCTGGCTTTTACCTTTACTGTTGAACGACATTATTCACAACTGACTCTCAACACAAATTCTGTAATGCCAGCAACGCAGAAAAACCAACACAGAGGGGATGTATGGGACCACGGTGGGGGAGGAACATGGCAGGCAAATATTTAAAAGCCAGGAATGGGAATGATGAAGACAAGGAAGCAGGCAGTGACCTGGGTGGCCGTGCTGTGGGGGTCCCTGAGGAACTGGCGCGGTGATGGCAGGTGGGTGCTGCAGTAGTGCTTTGTCCCCACGAGGCCTGGCTGTTGTGACTTCTTGGCTGTGCTCTGCCTGGGCGTCCCCTGGGGCGGTGGCCTCCTGGGGCTTGGGTGCTGCACATTGTTAAAGACGACAGGGATTGGCTGCTGCATCAGCATCTTTAAGTAAAAGAGACACACGAGTTGTTGGTGGTAATGCCTGGGAGAAATAACACTGCAGCAGCAGCACCTCTAAATCCAGGGGCAAAGTGAACCATGAGTAACAGAAAATCAGATGTTAGCTTGGGTTAAATATTTATTCAGAGCCATGACTGTTCCAGATCCATTGTGCCTGCTCTGTTTTTCAGGAGTGGCACAAGGGATCCAGCAGCACTGATCAAATACTGAAGCACCAAGCTTTTTGTACAGAGAGGACTTGGGATTAATTTGGGATTTCTTTTTCTGTAAATCATGAATATTACTGATTCAATACTTAGCCACGTACTGACGTCACTCAGCTCTCAGGAGACACCACTCCCATGCCTGAGACCAAATTACCAATTTGTCCAGAGTTCCTTTCCTAATGCTTTTGCCACAGACAATTTTGTTACAGATCTGTGTGCTCAAAGGAAAAGCAAACGGTTGGTGAGTTTGGGAGTCCCTGGGACAGCAAGTACCTGCAGGTTGGAGTCCTGCACTAACTGGAGCTGCTCCTTGATGACGTGGAGTTCTTCTTGCTGAGTCTTGATGTCAGCTTGTAGTATGCGAGTCCTCTCCTCCAGCTGCTCTTTCAGCTGATGCATCATCCCCAGCTGGGTTGGGAAGTGGTACACGGGCTGCAGATAACAGATTAAAAAGGATCACAGGGTAGGACCAGTCTGCTACTCACATTCATACGTGATGTTGGCTTCAGAAAAATTACTGCTTTTCAGTTTTTGCCGTAGAAAAGATGGTGCTGACAAAAAATGTCAATTGCATATTTAAACAAAGTACCACTGTAGTTCCACAGCAGGAACACAGCTGGTTCACACTCAGTACCTCCCTCCAGGTGTTGGTCTATTAAATTGCTGTAACACCCTGCTGGTTTTGGGCCACTGCATCCAAACCCTTGCCACACCTCCTGGCTGGGTTTTCAGTTGTGCTGCTAACGGTATTTGTCAAATGTCAGGCCCAAGTTATGCTGCAATCCCACCTGGGATCCATCCTTCACACCTATGCTGGCCATCTTCAATTCCTGTTTTATAGTCTGAACATTTACTACACTGACATCAAAGCTCTGTGAGGACGGATCTCACTGTTATGATTTATGACTCCCACATTTTTCTTGCGGTTTTTGTTTTTTCTTTCCCTGGCCTAACTCAAATCTTTCATGGCATCCCCTTCCTTTACCAGGGGAATAAAACTTCAGCATTGTATCAGCCTGTAGTTAGCTGCTACAGATTCAGAGAGGAGCCTTCAGCAGCCTCCAATGCTTTTGACAAGTGTAAAACTTCTACACTGTTTCCTTGGGTGTCTCACCTGTTCTGTCTCCTCACTGAAATAAGTGGTTGCAATAATTTGGTTGCAGGTAAATCTTAGTAACAGCAACAGAAGGGGCACAGAAACACTGTCCCCACTCTGAGATGAGCAAGCAAGGAGGTGGGTACTGAATCAGAGCCACCAAGGCTGCCCCAGTGACTGGTCACACCACTGCACTTAATAAAGATAAACCACGTACCATCACAGGGTGCTGGGAGGGGACTGCCAGCTGAGCCACAGGGTGCTGAGGGAGGTGTTCACCAGGGGCTTGAGGAGTGGCTATGGCCTAGAAATGAAAACTTTGCCTTACTGTAGGTCCATAGCACCTCTAGCACAGAGTTGGTGCTGTACCTGCCCATATCAGGGATGAACAAGTGCAGGGAATTAGACAACTCCATGTGGAGGTCTGAGAATCACTCTGAAGGGAGAATTTAAGCTCCTGCATGCCCCTGCTAATTGCAAGTCCTTGGTGTCAGCATCCACTTTGGATAAAGGCCATTTCATGAGTACAAACCCCAGGAAAAACAGGCTGGTGGCGTGAGAAGCCATTTAGCCTGGAGGAGCAAAATGAATCCTGAAAGGAGGAAGCAGAGGAGCCTCTGGCATCCCTCCACTGGCTCTGCCAGCCAGTGCTGCTCCCCACAGCCCTGAGAAATCCCAGCACACTCAGAGTGGGGGATCCAGCATCTTTGAGGGAGAGATCAAGGTTTCTTTAACAGCCTCAGAAAGGCTTTTCCTTGCCAGGACCACTGACCTGAGTGCTTCCGACTGATGCCAGCCGCAGGGCTGCCTTCTCTGCCTGACCCCCGGGCACTGACGGCCGGGTGGGAGTGCTGGTGTCCGTGCGCCGCATGGATGACGTGGCTGGAAAAGAGATAGTTCACCATGATACAGCAGCCCCGTGCCTGGGTACCCTGGCTGAGCCTGAGCTCTGCACATGCAGATGAACAGTGACCCAAGCGCTGCCAAAGCAGGTCCCCAAACTGCCCCTCTGTGGTCCCTCTGGCTTCCTGCCTGACTCATTGGGGTCCATTCTGATGCCAACCCCACATCTCAGTCTGTCCTTCATGGGTGTCTCCAGATGAGATTACCACTCTCCCCATGGCAAGTATTTCAAGAAAAGGCCCCTGAGTCAGTAGTTTCCTACACACAGCCCTCCCTGCACGGGCACTGTGGTTACCTCACTGTCACTCCCAGGGCAGGGGTGGCACTCGCAGGAGCTGGGATGAAGCTGCCAGCGAGGCAGGCATCCTTCTGAGCTCCTTCTGCAGGGATTTAGCAGAAGACACCCCATAATAAAATTATATTATCCCAAAATAAAACTTTTGTCAGTGAAGTTCAGGGCTCAGTCAAGCTAGCGAGCCACCTCCTGTCCTCTGAGTCACAGCAAACAGCCGTGACCCTCAGCTGGTGACAAACCAGGGGACAACTGCTCTCACACCAGCAGTGGGCTAAGAGGGAGGAGGCAGCACATCATCGTGGCTCTGTTGCTGCACTGTAACTTTTTATTACACGGTATGTTGGTCCCAGTGCTGAGCATTTCCCTCCCACCCCGGTTCGGTCACCTCCAGCAGAACCCCAATATTTTGGAGGCTGCTCTGCCCTCCAGCCCACTCCTTGCCCCCATGCTGGGCTGTCCTCGGCCGCGCTGGCACCTACACGTGGAGTCGGAGAGGGCGGTGTGCGAGGAGCGCCGGGAGCTGTGGGATGACAGTGACACTCCCTCCCGGCTGGCGTCCTGGCTGCTGCCGCACTGCCCCACGTCCAGGTAGCTGCTGTGGCTCTGCGGGGAGAGAAGCACAAGCAGTGAGATCGTCAGTGGAGGGGGACGGCACTGGAGGGGACCTCCACCTCCCTGACCATTTGTTTGCAGAGAAAAACAACCAGCTGGGTGTGTGCAGCACCAAATCCCGCTCACTCTGTGTTCACCCTAAAGCCTTCAGGTAGACACGACCTTCAGAATTATGCCCGAGGCACCCTGGCTTGGGGTGGAGCCTGGGACACCCATCTGATGACAGTGAGCAGCAGTGGAAGGGACACACCACGTGTCAGGCAAATGCCGTGGGGATTGCTGCCTGTGTCCTGTGCTCCAGCGTGCCACCCGCCTGCTTACCTGCCCACAGAGCTGTGGGCAAAAGGAAATAAGCTTTTATAGTCAGCTCCTTTCTGCCGGATTTCTTCAGGAATGTCACAGCTGGTTGGCTGTGGCACACTGGGGTGTAGTGGCAGGGGAAAATGAGTGAAGGCAGCCCGAGGGGCTGGCTGGGGAATGGTTTTATCCATTGCAGAGATGGAGAGAGATGACCTGGAAGAGACGTGGAGCTATGTAATGGTCTCAGGAAGATAACAGGGAGCAGAACAGAGAAATTGAACTGCTGAATTTGCAGTTATTATGGAATCAGAGAATGCTCTGAGTTGGAAGGGACCTTAAAGATCATCTAGTTCCAATCCCTCTGCTAAGGGCAGGGACACCTTCCACTAAGACCAGGTTGCTCAAAGCTCATCCAGCCTGCCCTGAGCCAAGTTGGGCAGTTTAGAGCTATGCAGAGGAAAACTTCTCAGGATCTGCCTGAGTCATAACCCAGCTGAAGGCTTGGAACAAAATGGGAGTAAAGAAAAAGGAGAAGCAAGAACACGTATTTTCCCAAGATTGGTAAGCGATTACTCGGTTTAGTTTAAACACCTTCTTACTCAATTGTGAAGGGACACAGTACCTTTACAGAAGAGGATGCCAGTTCAATTGATGACTCTTCGAGGCCAAGATCTCGCCTTCTCTCAGCCCGAACTTCTGCATAACTAAAAAACCCAAAAAAACCCAAAACCCATTTCAAATCCAGTTTTTCAGTCTAGATATTGTTTACTCTGTGGTAACTATCTTACTACACAGGCCACTATGAAGTTTTCATGTTGAGTCCCAAGCTTTGCACAATGCACTCACACGCTCTCTCAATATACAAGGTACTTAAACGAACATCATCATAGAGCCTAGCAATCTGTGAGTAATTCCACAGGTCAGAAACAACAGAGCAGTGTCCCAACACTGCACCCCAGACTGCAGAGCCTGTAGGATCATCCCAAGTGCAAAAGTAGATGCTCCTTTGCAAATTTTGGCCCTGGATGCCTTCAAATGAAACTAATCTAAAAGCAAAGTGCACTTGGCTGTTGAAGACAAAATGGGTGTCTTTGTCTCAATACAATTTTCCTAATAAAAGAGTTTCCCATTTTCCATAATCAGGTAGAAAAATGATCCTACAGCTTCTGTGCAGGTAAACTGCCATAACAAGAGTAAATTCATTTTCTGACCTCGTGATGACCAAGAATCAATTTTTTCCATGTGCTACAGTAGCTCAGTGATCCCTATGCCAGTGGCTTGGGGAGGAGGAACTCAGCTCCCTCTTTTTGAGGGTGCATACAATGTGGTGCATCAGAGTTAACACTCTGCACGCCACTGGAAGCTCCAAATACAAACCAGCAGCTGCCCAGGTGCAATGCAAGGTGCAGGAATCCCCAGGAATGTGCCTCTAAAATTGTATATTTGCTTTCCTTACTTTTTCTCCTCTTAAAAAATAAAATACTTACACTAAACAATGCCACATAATTCACCACTGGGATAAAACAGAGAGGATGTTTTAAAGACTTTCTGAGTGCTCATTAGGTACTGGAAGGGGCTCGAAGGTCTCTACAGAAATCTTATCTTCTCCAGGCTGAACAGCCCCAACTCTCTCAGCCTGTCTTCACAGGACAGATGCTCCAGCCCTCTTATAATCTTCATGGCCCCCCTCTGACTCACTCCAACAGGTCCATGTACTTTCAGTTTACTAGTGTTTGCTCTTCTAGATGTTTGACGAGAAAAAGAGGGGGATCAGAAAAATATCAAAAATTGATTCCTGACAATAAAGAAATACATGGGGAGCAATAAGTCTACTCAAGTTAATAGGGCAAACCAGTGTGTCACTATTTTTTCAAGCCCTTCAGTAAATGTATTCTCACTCTGAACACAATCTTTTTTGAGATGGCAGTGGTAATAAAGCAGATCCCCCTCCAGAAGGTTCGTATCACAGAGCATCCCATGCATGCACTGCCTTCTAGCACGGGTTGGAACTCAGCATAAGCAGCTTTCCACTAGGGGAGGATCTTGAGCTGGATTTGGGTTGAGGAATAAGGCTTGCAAGCCAGCAGCTAACTTCAAGTCATAAATACTTAAAACTCTGATCAAAACGTTTTGTAGGAGATATATGATACCATTCATGACCATAAAGCCATCTGATTCTTAACAGCTTTAAATCTTTAAATGGCTGTGTCATCACTAGGGATAAAAGGGGAATGTAACACACTGGTAGACTTGGCCAACAGTGGCTTCCAGGTTTTTGGCCCGCTTGATGAAAAAGGAAAAAGAGTAATGAAAATACGTGTTCCCTGTCATAATAGTTTTATGGAATTACATACCATCTCAATGTGTCAGTAGGCACAGCAAATATTTGGTTAACACAAAACAGAACTAGAAAAAGTAATGGCTGAACACTGAGACACATTCTGTGAAGGGTTTGGTGCTTAGTCCTACCTAACTACCAGGTGAGTGCAAACGATGAACTCGGGCTTGGAATTCCACTGGTGGTAGGTGATGTAGTAGTGTGTCTGCAGCCATATCCACTGCTGGCCTTTGGTCAGGAATCGATAGTAACAGGACTTTCCTTTTCCAAACTGCATCACTGTTTAACAAAAAAAGAAAGCAATTTATAGCAAACAGGGATTTCCTGGTGCAAAGGTAATTAGAAAAACCACTGAGTGCCACACACCTCTCACAGACTGTGGCAGTGCCAAAATGGCTCTTGAGCTTTATAAACACAACAGATGATACACAACCAGGTACTCAGCTCCTGTTTGGGTCCTTTTCTGCTGACTTTCAGGAGTGCCCTTTGGTATTTTGAGATTGCTCTTATAACTGGTATAACTGTATCACCAGCTATATACCTATAACTTATTCATGGGCTCCCCTGAAATAAGCATAAATAACACTATTTAAAGTACTTGCCTTTCACATGTACATGAGAATGTATTTCTGACACTGAAGGTGTGAAGTCAGAATCCCAATAAACAATAAGATAGTGGAGTTTTAGCAGTTTAACTGAGAGTTTTCTTCCAAGAGATCACCTAATTACAGTAGACCTGGTACATATTATCAGCCTACATCCAGAAAAATCTCAAGTGCTGTACTAAAACTGGAAAATAATGAAGGGAACTACATTAACCACACTAATTGTTCTGGACTGCTGGGAGTACAAAATGAAACATGTTCACATAAAATACCAATAATTAATGTAAACTAACATACAAATGTGGTTTCAGCAAATCCATTTTACTTGGCAGTAGGCAAGATGCCTGCCCAGAGTTGTCAACCTGACAAACAGGAACTTATCAAGCCACACTATCCCATGCATGTTCACTCACCATCTCTCTACTTTGTTAAAATATCAGGACTAACTTCTTTAGTGATCCCATTAACAGTGATGGCCTTTAGATGAAGCACTTAGCAGAGGTCTTCTGGCTAACATGCTGTGCTAGGGGTCCCTCAGTTCCTAGTCATGGCAGAGATGTCCTGGAGCAACTTCTCTAGCTCATTTTGCCAGCACCTTCCCCTCTGCAGTAAAAAGATCCTTTCCTACAGGTGTGTTGTGCGAATACTCCTTTAATATGTAAGAGAAATCCATGGCTAGTAGGGATGTAGAACATAAATCGTGCAATCAATTCTCTGCTGAGTGATCTGACCCACTCTCAGTATAGTTTGTGTCTATATCAAACTGCACACACACATTACTAAAAGGACACTGTCTGCTTAAGTAGGTCACTTCTGTCTGAATGGTCTTTTAAGCAAACAGGACTAAGAAGTACTGTACTTTAAAGCAATTAAAATACCCTGTTAATATGCCCATCGACACACTTGCTGAGCTTGACACAACTTGTGTCTGTCCCTTTCACAGCCTCCTCCGTGGGCTCAGCCAGGCAACCTGCCTCCCTGACAGCTGTTGTACCAGTGCTTTGCCTTGACAGGGCAGAGAAATCAGCAGGGAAACAACAATCAGAGAAGTCATTTTCTCCATCGTCCTCTACTAGGCCCTTCAGCACCTCATAAGTGTAAGTGGAAGAGGGTACTTGGTAGAGATGGGGGTGGTTTGCAACTCAGAGATGAAGCAGCTCGTCTCACTCCAGTGGGCTGGGGGGCTGTGGAATTTCTTGGTTCCTACATTGCACTGCTCTGCATCTCAGAGTAATTACAGCATCCCACTTGCTCCACTCTCTGGGGTGTCCTTGTTTCCTTTTGACAAAACACTCTCCTTTCAAGCAGAGATAACAGAGAGACAAACAGACAGTTTTCCCACAGGAAACCTCTAAGTAATATTTCTTAGCAAAATATCTGATTACCTAGATGCATTTTACAAAGTATGTAGTCATTTTTTATTGCAATTTTTGCCTGGCAAGGCAAAGCCAGTGGAGGACAGACATAATTCTGGTTAAATATCTCAGTCTGAAATGCACCTAATAAAATGGAAAAATCATGAACTCAGGGGTAAGGCATTTCACAACTGGTAGGAACAGCACACTGATTAAGAGTAGACCACATATGCAGACACCTCTTGCCCTTCCTCACATCAGCTCTATCCTTCAGCAGGCTGCACTGCTGCGGTCCTCAAGCGAAGTTTTCCCTGTGCCCTGGCTCCCACAGGTCACACTATTTCTCCTTGCACAAAGATGAACTCAATCGACTTTCTTTGGTGTTCATACATCAGCCTGAACTGGACTCTTCTGCTTTGCTGCTTTACTTTCAGGTCAACTAAATATGAGCCATCTTTACCCACAGGGAAACTGTATTCGGTACTTTTGTATGTAAAAAAAATTCTGAATCTCCAGAAGCATTTTACTAATGAGTAAGTGAGGTTCACAACAACTAGCTGCACAGGTAGGTGAACCAAATGTTGCTCTTAGAAGGCCTTTCGGTGAGCTGAGCCTCACGGCTGGTTCTAGAGCTCAGGGTGAACAGCAAGAGCCCATGAACTGTGACAATCAACAAAACTCACAGGGTTTTGGGGCTGCCCTCACAAACAGGGGGCAGAGGGGGAAAAGTTTTGACTTCCAATCTGTTAATCTCAGACAACCTGTGCTCAAACAAGATATCTGCCAGTTTAGGAAACCTGCACAAACAGTTCCTGATCTGAGTGAATTCTGCAGATTTCAACCTCCTAGATAAGCATCAGTCTGCCATGGAAAGAGAGAATTCCCTTGTGAAGAAGATGCTTTTTGTGATGACAGTAAAGGGTTTTGCACAAGTGACAAACGAGATCAAAGACAGGCAGGCTGCAGAGGGAGTGGAACTTACAGTGTTCATGGCACCTAGCAAGAAGCTCCAGGTCATCTGCGTGGTAGTAATCATACCCTGACGTTCCCAGAACCTCAAAGGGTAAGTATCCTATAATAGGTGGAGCCCTAGAAAGGAAGCAAAGGGCAGGGAATGAGCACAAAACCTGATGCTTTGACATCCTGGCAGATAGGCTGTGATACCAGCAACAAAAACCTCGTTCGTTCACTCGGCAGAGAAATCAGGAATGGGTTTTCATATATGCAACAAGGTATCGTCACAGACAAACAAAACAAAAAAACCCACAGCGAGGGAGAGGTAAAAACTGAGAAAATGAAAAGGTGTGTGTTTACTGTTTCATAGCCTATTCATTACGTGGGTGTAGAGAAAGGCATGTACGTATGCGAGTGACTCAATTCATTAAGGATGCTTGTGAGACGCAGCTTGAGAAACGCTACGGCTGCTCCTGTGCATAACAACTTGGAGCTGGAGTAAAATTATCCAGTAGGTTGGATGTAAATGTCATCTGGGTAGGAACTGTAGAAGAAAGAGCAAATGGGAAGCTGCAGTGTGTGTCAGGACCAGCTTGGGTAAGAGAAAAAGCAATGGCTCCCATGGAAAAACTTGGGAAATTATAGCCAGCAAAACTTCCTGTGCTGGTAGTATAGACAGCAATAGGTACAGGGCTGATTTAGGACTGCTTTAGCTTTGGCAGGTAGATAAGGAATCAATGAAGTATTTAGATAGGCACATTGCAGTGACTTACCTCACTATTGTGCTGTCAATTCTAGATTTGTTTGTTCTGGCTGCAGGATATGCTGATAGTGTGGGGCTCACCTGCCAAGATTAGTGTGTTTCTCAGGAATAAGGTGGTGGTGTGTTAGTGAAATGGTTAATGACTCATAACAGGGCAGGCTGAAGGGGATGGTGCCTTATCAAACCTGCCTCCCCCGCTGCCTTTCTCTTGGTGTGCTGAGTGCTCTTAAGGAAGGTGAATGCCATAAAGTGGCTAAGAATAGAAGTAAAAAGTGATTTAAATATAGTACATTTGGATTTGGATGGATCAGTCCTGAGTTCCTTGGTTATTAATGTGGGAAGTTCTCTCTTGGCTAAGGCACCCAGCTCTACATTTGCACTCCTAAGAGACACAGTGCATGTAGATTAGTCAACTAAAGAGAGCCCAGGCAGGTCTACAACCTCCCTCTTCCCCACAACTGCAGGCAGCCTGGCACCAGATGGGAAATGGGGAGAAAAGGAAGACAGCTAGGGGTCTGCTCAACAGCAGTCCCAGGAGGAGCAAGGTGTGAGCAGAAACTCCTGAGTCCCAGCACAAGGGGTTAGCTGGGAAAGCCAGTCCTCCTCTCAATAGCAAATCTCTTGAAACAGAGTGTGCCGAGTACACAGTGGTCTCTGCCACAATGCAGCTTTACTTACTCAAGTAACTTTTCATAGAGCACTGTGTTCCTTTCCCTCACGTGACCCAGATTTCTGTTAATGATGATAATATGTGTATTTATGAAAGTGTCCTTCCTTGCTGTTTCTTTGGCAGAACACATCACTGTCTCTCCTATTTTTGATGACATACTTATATTCAAGACAATAATGTCTTTGAGATGCACATCAGATAAACACTTAAGCTGATCAGGAAAGTATTATACTTTCCTGAATATTGCCAGGGCTCTTTATATGAGAAAGTAATCACAAAATTTTCCTCATCTGTCATTTGACAAGGAGCTGCCTTGCCTGTGGAGCAATTTAGAAGTGTTTTGTTAGCTTAAGTTCCAGCCTTGAGACCTGCAACTCGCTGTGCAAATGGGAATGCACAGTCTTCAGAGAGCCTTTCAGATGCACTCTTTCAATAAATGAAGGGAAAATAAGAACAGTACCACAGTGCAGAAGAGGAATAGATCATTATGAAAACTGACAAGCTTTCTTCCTTTACACATATTTACATAAAGACCCAGAATACAGATTTTCCCTGTTTTTCTCATGTTATTCCAGATCTGCGGAATCCTTTACACTATCTATCTTTACTCTGATTTAAGTTGTGATCATGATAGGAAAGGTCCCGATTCCAGTTCCTGCTGGGAACCCTCTGTCCCTGCTGATGGCATATCTCAGCATCAGGCAGCCTGTGTTGATGCAAATAAGCAAGAAACAGCAACATTTCACAGCATCCTGCAGACTGTACTGGAGAGCAGTTTGGATCAATGATTAAATGAGACAACCCCCACGATCTCATGCTCATTCTTGGGTCTGAACTCGCCGCTCGCATCTGGGGCTGTCACAAAAACTGCCTCAGCATCTGCATCAGCTTAATTTGCTCTCAGTACCAATGGTTTCCTTGCTGGGAATATCAGTGGGACTGGAGTGGCTGCAAGCACCTGGCACAGAGATTCCTCTCTGAGTCATAACCCAGATTCATCAGAAGACTCTTTGTCAGGTTTCAAAGTAGTTTCTGCTCACCTTATTCACAGGAGCTGCTGGGACACAGCAGCTCACTCCATCAGTGAAGTAAGGGGCTTAGGGCTCTTTTACAAATCTTAACATTAATCAGCTGATTCTGAAAATATGCATTATTGGACAGGCCAATTAAAGTCTAACAAAGCCACTCCAGCAAGGTTTCCATACACAAGTAATGATCTGACTGTCCCAAACTAAACAGCACCAACTGTAGGGCTGTCACAGGGTCAGTTCCTTCATGCTTCAAAACATGATGTGTGAGGGACACATCTTGTGTACTATACAAATGAAAGTTATAAAATTAATACATTAATAAACTATAAATTAATAATAATTTATATTTGCTCTCTCTCCTTCTTGCTCTACATGTGCAGATGATATTTAGGGTTTTTTCCTCACAGATATTTTTTCCTTACAGCCTTATTTACCAGTCTTCTATTTCTAGTAATGACTATCTTTGCACAGCTCAAAAGGGGAGGGATAGCGGAAAGAGTAGGATTTTGCAATGTGCTTATGCACACATGTCAAATACAGAGAAGTAAAAGAGTGAATAAAACCCTCTAGCTTCTTTTGAAGAAAATGAATCCTATATTAATCAGCTTAATAAAGCAGTTCCAGTCTGTTTCACTCACCAAGCTGAATCCTAACCCACCGTATGGCATTGTCAAAAACTAATATAAATTAAATCTTAGAATCTGCTGCTTTTTCTTTTAATTTCATAAATTCTAGCATTTCTCAAGGTGAAAAATCAAAAACTTATTGACACCACAAAATATTTAGAAAGATGCCTGGAAGCTGTACTGGTAAAACAAAAGATTTAAACCCATACAGGGAACAGGACTGATACTGTTCAGTTTCAATGACTTATTATCTCGGTGAAGTTTGACATTTTTCTAGATGCTTTCCAGCATTTTTTACGGTTTCTTACCTGCTTAAAATATGGAAAAGAGTGAAGCACTTAAGGATGCCTAGTAAGTTCACAATAGTGTTACTTACTCAGTCTCATCTAATTAGAACTATTCCACTTGGGATCTCTGGCAATAGCTACACAAAGTTTCCTATTTTTAAACTACAGTTTATTTATTCTTCAGCGACTAAACCCAAATCTCTTACCTGTGGTCCAAGAATAAAAACTTCCATTCTAAACTATGCCTCGACGTGAATTCTTCACATGGCTCTTCAACGTTGCAGAGCTCCTGCAACACAGGTGGCACATTGAGACATTTAATTCTATGAAATGACAAAAGGAGCCTGCTATCAAGACCAAGGATGCATCTTGTTGATATAATAAACCATAGCAAAATACAGTGCTTATAAAGCACTTGACTTATTTTCCTCTAAGGAACATATAAGCCTTGTTTTATGGATGCACGAAGTGATGAAAAGTGGCTGAATAATTTACCCTGAGCTGAATTTCAGACCTAGGATAAAGAGTCCAAGGGTCTCATCTTGCACTCTGTAGGCCAGATTTCCCAGCTTTTTGCAAATATTGGTATGTGAATATGGATAATTAACTGGCTAATGCTCCCCTTGAGCAAGCAGCACCTACAGTCGTTATCCCTGTCATCACTGCACTGCACCACGGGACACTTACAGATCAGCAGAAAAAGCCCATGAAACACAGTTTCAACCATGAAACACTGTTTCAGGTACAGGTGGCTTCCTTACACCAAGGGTGGTGGGATGCACGCCTTTGAAGGCTGCAAATTCCCAAGTGGTGTAGCTGGTCACCTTGTCTTGGTGCTCCCTGGGCTACCCGCGCTGGGACAGCCCATCACACAACAACCTCTTCTCGCTTTATACCTCTCCTTTCCAAAATACACACTTATGTCAAGCCCCACTCCCAAACGCAGCGGTGTCCTCTCTTCTTTACTAACCCCCTGCACAAACACTCAGTGCTGCTCCCTGAGAGGCTGCCTCAGCAGGGCTCCCACACACCCACAGAGCAGCTCCACTGCCCGGCACCAGCTGAGCCCCACGCAAAGGGGAAGTGCAGGTACAGGGGTCTCACCTTTAAGAACTGCGGTGTGACAAGACGAACAGTCGCTACGAGGCAAATCTGCTCCTCCGTGGCTGACCTGAAAGCTCGTGCAATAGCTGACTCAAAGCCATTACAGGAGGGTGTAGGCACTAGACACAACCAGACAATTTATTTAAGAAGATGAGGAAGGAGAGTTTTTTTTTCATGTTAAGACAGGTACAGTGACTGATGACACCCCAGCAACCAACTCCTCCTACCCACAAAGTGATGCCACACTGATACACGCTGACGTTATTTAAAGTATGACCCTTTAGGCTCCAAGTTACACAGCTGTAACCACCTATCCCTGGCTTGCAGGGGAGCTTCATAAGACAGCTCTGAGCAGCTCGCAGTATGCAGCTGCAGTCTCCCTGTCAGCCTTTCTCCAGGTCAAAATTTGCAAGATTCAGGATTTTACAGGTATATCAAACTATTTAATCTTTGTAAAGTGTCATTTCACTGACACGAGTGAAACAGAATAGCATATTTTACCAGTTATTTGAATAAGTAGGCTGCTTTACAATTGGCAGTGGGTCAAATGGAGGTGTTATCAGTCTGGTATCAGCTTTAGGCACAGCATGCAGGAGAGTGCACTCTTCTGAACAACACCCTCACCACCACTTTCATATGAAAAACATATTCAATATATCTACAGCTCATTCCATCCCTGACAATTACAGGGCATTTTCAGCTGAACAAGGTCTTTAGGATGCTACATATAAGGACACAATTTAAAGGAAAGAGGTGAAGAAGGTAGGCTGGAGTAGTAACTTACCATGAGTAAAATATTTAAAATCCACTACAAATTTCACATATTCATACATCAGGGGTTCATTTGGATCTAAACTGCCTCTTGCTAAATGGCAGCAAAACTCTATTTGTTTTTCTGCTGAAATGAGAGAAAGAGAGGGAGACAGGCAATGTTACTAGAAGTCTGTACTTCAGCACACTCACATACTGAATTTATCAGGTGCTTACACCAACCTTGCTGCTGTGATATCTGAGCACACCCTGCTAGGATGCTCTTGAAACCCGAAAGTAAATATATAAATACTAGGAGCAATTATCAGCTGGTTCTGTTTAAGGAAATGTATTCTCACCCTTTCTCAAATGGCTTTGCAGTCACTCCAGTACTCCGAGAGTGAAGCCCTGGCTATACGATCAGCGGGATTTTCCCCTGACTTCATAGTTTGCAGAATTTCACACAAAGCAGTTACATGACATTGCAGTACTCTGCTCTGGCACTGCTCAGTAGGACCCAGATCCAAAGGGCACTGAACTCACCCTAAGCCTCTCCATTAGCAGTGGAGGGCACCGTGCCAAGCTCTCATCCAGTTTTCTGCCCCAAGTCTGAACTCTATGGATTAGACCACGTGGCCTTCAGCCAGAGGGAAACCACCCTCGGGGCAGAGCACCATCAGCACAAGGGCTGCTCAGCTCCCACTGGTGCTCAGGGGGCAGCAGGGAGGGGAGGCCAGCGCTGCTCAGACATGGTGAACCCACTGGGAAAGAGGGAAGCCAGCACAGCCTTGGTAAAATGTGGATGATAGGAAGATGCTGATGCCTGCTCTGTGCTGGGGACATTTTCTAGGAGAAAGAGACATTCTGGGGGTGGGACAGTAGCCAGCAATACAGACCTGGATGGACTGTTCAGATAGGAGGGCTGATGCTTAAGTTACATTAGGGTTTCTGTTGTGTCCTGAGACATGCAAACTTCCAGAGGAATATAGGCTCTGCCAAAACCCTTTGAGATTTCTCCAACCATTTTCCTTTCCCTAAGCCCTCACTCCTTTCTCAGGTTCAGTCCAGCATCCCACCTGAGTAAAAACACCTAATGAGGGCAACTTCACTGTCCTATGGGACAAAGCAGACAGTAAAACATAGACTGCCCAAATCAAAGAGCAAGTATTGGGAACACACAGGAACATTAGATGATGTGATGCACTAAACCCCACAAATACAGTAAAACAGCAGTGGCAGGCAGAAGAATTAAATAGCTGGAGAACCCTGTGCAGGCTCCCCTGGGAGCTGTTCGCCTTTGGCAAACTTCCCTGACTTACAGACAAGAGCAGAGCTTACCATTTAGAAAATCAGCTGCAACAGGATCTGTCATGAGCACATGTGGAGAAAGGAGCTTGTACACTTCGCTCTGTTCCCGTTCAGGCAGAAAGTTTAATATATTTTGGTCCACCAAATCTGACTGATACAAAAGAATGCTTTGTCATGTTCAGCAGTACAGCCTGACACAACCACACGCCTTTTCATCCCGCAGCAGAGCACAGACGCTGCCGGTCTACCTGATGCCTAAGACAAGGAAGCCCAGTCAATCTGCAGATGGATCTAGGGCAGAACACAGCCCTTAGGTTATTTTACCCCAGGGTTACTATCTATTTGCAGAAGGATGAACGAGTCCCAGAGTTTGCCCCCTCAGTTCAGGGAGATGTAAGTAGGAGAAGAAACCCTGGTACCACAGGAATGTAATATGATGATAAGTATCACTTCAAAATGCAAATGTGAAACATTTTCCTTTGGAAGTATGACAGAAGTGAGAGAGCTCATCCTCACATCCTCCATTTGTCTTCTAGGCTGAACATCTGGCAAAATCATCTTGACCTGCAAGTGATTCAGTGCTGATCAACCCACACATCCTGACTAAAGGGGTTCTACCAAAATGTCAGCACGGATTTGTTCTTTGCACACCAGGACATTCAGCTAACCATGTGCTTAAATCTGCCCTCGTATATAGCATTGTTGGTGCCTCATGCTTGGCACCAGATTAAGAGAAAAATGTTTTTGAGGGGTCAAGCTGAAATTTATGCACCTAACAGCTAACTGGTTTCTAGAAATTCTCCCAGAAAGCTCTGAGGCCACACATTTGTTACTGAAGACTATGGGCTAGAAGTAGGAAAACCCGATGTCATTAGAAGAGCATAGATTCAGTCCTGAAATAATGAGCCTTATATTGAGTGGTCAGAACTTACCGGTAAGTGTCCGAGCAGAGACGAAACACTATCAGATACATAAATAATAATCCCATCAGTGGTAAGAGCAATGAGAAAGCCATCTAGTGCCTAATGATAATAGGCAGACAAAAAAGAAAAAAAAAAGAATTATGAAAGGTAGCAACTTAGAGTATAATAGGCTAATTGATTCTTTAGTGATGCTTCCAACAGCCTAAACTTAGCAGAAATTAATCACGGAAATGATAGTTCAATGTGGAAAACCAAAAATTATACATGCTGTCTAATTCAACATTCTTTTTATATTCTTATTTGCTCATTATTGTTAAATTGACTTGTATTTTTCACCCAGTGAGCATTTATTTAACATGAAGCAAAACAGTGATGCTTAGAATTTCAACACCCACACAATCCCAGTGACTTCAGTCACTTCATTATGTGTTCTGAGTTACACAACAGTTAACAAACTCAGTGCGTAAGGAGATGGTAGATATCATCATGGCAAACCCAGCATTGTGGATGGATGGATGGATGGATAAGCAGAGACAGAAAAATGATACAATGATTTATTTTTAGCAATTTATGGACAATACGGAGAAGATTTAAAGCGTTACTTATTTTGATTAAAGTACTGATTTGTAAGGCTAGTGACAAAACAATTTTAAGGCTTGTTTTGTTTCCCCTTTTATGTTGACAGTGGTTTCTGTCCCAGAGTCAAAGCTCTCTGTCCCTTTTAAGTCACTGCCTGTGCTTTCCTCCTTGAGTGTTCTCCCTATTCTTCACAACATCTCCTTGTACCATTTACTCAGTGTCTGTCCCTATTCTTCTCTAACATCAAGATCTGGGAGGTTTAATAGCTGGTCAGCACCGTGCACAAAGCCAGCTCTTCTATAGACACAGTTAGGCTGTTCTGCAGATTAGATACAGGGAGCCAAAGATGCAGCACTCACCATCTCCCCCACCTCACTGCCTTTGCTCAAAATAAGTCCTCTCTGGGAAAAAACCCACTGATTTTAAGCAAACTGCTTAACTGCTTAAGTCTAACAAAGTCCAGCAAGCCAGCAGTTATTAAAGGGCTCGCTCTCCCCGCCACTTCCCATCTAAGGGGGGAATTTGTTTTGATTCAGCTGGAACAAGCTAGCCTGTTTGGTGAGAGAGATTCCCAGAAAAAATGAACAGACTTTTCCAGGGAGGTGAGTCATGACATCCCGATGAAAACGAGTAACTAAGACACTGCAGCACCTCCCAGCTCAGCCCAGCATACACCCTTATTTTGGTGGGGCAAAGAGCAGCAGCTGCCCACACAGGGCAGGAGATGTCCTCGCCAGAGGAGCACAAGCACAGATCCAGAGTCATGGCCTTAAGAAAGGAGAAATGCAGGCTTGTGGGGTGTTTCTAGACCAGTGAAGCATTTCAGAGGTGGGAGTATCAGAGCTGTTCTCCTGAATGCACTTAAAGGCAATCCAAGCACAAGAGACAGCACTCACATCACAAGTACAGCAGTGCGCAGCAAGCAGCTGCAGAGGCAGCAGGGCGATGCTGCCTGGCTAATGGGATGTGGGAGGAAGAGAGCTGCTCTGCTTTTTTCAGGTCCTTTCAAGTTTTCCCTAAAACTGCTAGCTCCAGCAGCTCTTCTGAGAAGAGAAATTCTCTTTTTCCTCTCTCACCAGGCCAAAACTGGGCCAAATCAGTCACCATTCCTAAATGAAAAGCTGTTTATCTTTCAGGGGAAGCAATCATATTTTTAATTCTGTGTCTGCAAAGCACATTTAGCACAGTGGTCTCTGTCAGATTTGTATGTGCCAGCAAGAGTAGAAATCATTAGCATTGGGACCTACAGGTGAAAAGGAACTGTACATCTCTGAACTACTCCACTGAACTGATTACTTCTCACTAATCTATGCAGCTTTAATTTCTTCTTACCTCTAACATCAACTGGGTGAACTCCTCGTTGCTAAGAAATGAAGGCTTCCAGTCTTGTCTAATCTCACAGGCTTCTGTCTGTGCTGTGATTTCTTAAAGAGAAAACATCAAAAAAGCAACATGAGTCATGCTACTTAGATTTTTTTTTCCTTTTCAAGTAACACTAGATTTCTTTAAAGAGGGCTTTCAGAGGAATCATCCACAGATCATTCTTCACACAAACCCTTCTTGCATGCAACAGTCATTTTCTATGTCATCACGATACAAATACATTAGAAATCAAGAAAGGGAAAGGGAAATGGAGACATTTTGGGTGGTCTGAAGATATCCTTCAAAAACTATGGTCAGAGGGCTAATTTCAGAGTGGTAGAGCATTCCTGTGAGCAGAGGGTGTCTGTGACTCTGGAGCTGTTTCAGTAAGGCTCTCAGGAGTGCCCAGGCAGCAGGAAAGGCTGTGCTCAGTCATCTCCTAATCCAAAAGACCTGGGAGCATGTCTTATAATTCCCTTTCCCCTTGCTTTTGTAGTGGGTAGTGTTCCTCTGTTTTTCCTCCCTCATGCTCTGTTTGAGAATGTACAAAGCAGGACAGGGAATGTGGAGGCCAGTGAGGGAAACGATGTCTCTACATTAAAGAGCATCTTTTCAAATCTGTCTATATTTAACTGGTCAGCACTCTAGCTCATTTCCTGAGGTCAACTTCTGTGCCTTATTCTGCCCCTCACTTAGGCTCATGCCCTCTCTGGAGCTCTGAGATGCTTGGGAAAAAGAGTTTTCATTTTCTGAGTGGACACTGTCTGCTGGGCAGATGCAGAGCCAGCACCCTCCAGTACCTTTCTGTTTCTGTAGGAAGTCGATGGTCCTCTGCAGTATTGTGGACTTGTCCATCTTGAGAGGGTGGCCATGGCCCTGCAGCATCGTGCAAAGCTCTTTAATGAGGACATTGAACTGGTCTCTCCTCTTCTTTTCAGATTTGTTGCGTGATGCCCTGAGAGTGACAGAAACATAAATGCCACTAAGCAGAATGAAAGACCTGCAGCTCGAACCAGGATGAGGTAAACTGCCCTATCCCAGCAAAACACTGTGTTGAGAGTCTAGCTGCAGAACCACAGACTAGTTTCCAGCTCACATTAATACAATTTAAGAATGTTT